ACTCACCTGTTTTAAAATTAATATAGAACCGAGCGCCGAAAATAAAGAAATTCCCCCGCACAATTGTGACAAGATTGCGTGAAAAATTATTTCTGTAAAATCAAGGTTGGTGTTGCCACGCTTTAAATAATTACAAGATAAATATCCATTAAGTAGATAACATAGATGATCAGTAATACTTTTCAGCAACGTCAATGGTGCGGTACTTTTTCAAACAGTATATGCGATACAAAACATTTTTATATAACAAGGTCGGAATATTGGAATATATTAAAATTTTGTATAACGTATTAATTACGTTATTAATTTTCAGAAATATTTGAAGCCAGTCTTTTATTATCTTGTAGATAGTAAAATTTGATACTGTGATATTATTTAAACATAAAGTAAAATTAGATTTAGATAGAATCCTTATACTCAGTAATATTTTTGAATACGTGTTATTGAGTATAAGAAATGTATATTTATCTAATATATATATTTATAATTTATATCATAATACAACAATATATAATATTATATATAGTTAAACATTTATATATATATATATATAAGCAGAAGCGACAAAGGTACATAGATGCGGTAAATCTTTATATTTCAATCCGTTATAGCAAAATACATGATATATATATTTTACTACAATGAAATTTACAAATTTCAAATAATGATTCGTTATTATATGTTATGAATGAATTCATAACAGATTTGAGGTACCACCTTTATGATTGATCTATTATTATAATGGATAAATGACAGTTCCGAAGTATACGGTGATAATGATATGTAAATTGATCAATTATTCTATCAAAAACTATGAATTGTGTCATATGACATAAAACAGCTATTGTTGATTTCAATGTAATTTTGTTATTCTGGCCTTATAACTAAAGTGGTAAAAGCTAATTTTAATGGCGTTGTCGGTTGATAAATCTGAATTCAATCTAAATTCAGTCTCGATCTGTCAAATTTTGTACTTTAAGGGCCATGTTAGGGCCATGTTATGCAGAGTGTCTCGGGCACGGCATGAGTACAATTGTTGTTGTTTTGAATGCAAATTTTAAATTTGAAAATGAGAGAAAAAACAATATGTCCGTTCAAACTCCGGCATAAGAGCCGGCGTAATTGTTCCCCGGCACTAAAGCAAAACAGTGTTGTTTAGTAATAAATTTCGAAATTTGCGCCTTTTAAGAGCAAATTACTACAATTCTAATACGTTTTGGAGAAAAAATGGCAGTAAGCAACACAGCATATTTTTATAAATCGCTAATAATATAATTATTACACTTTTGACCCAGAGGGTCATGTTATGTAGAGTGTCTCGGGCACAGCACGAGTACAATTGTTGTTATTTTCAATGCAAATTATAAAATTGAGAGTAAGAGAAAAACCATGTTTCCATTGCTTACTTAGTAAGTGACTCTATGATTTTGTCGTTTCCATATGAAAATTTTAAGAGAGCTACTATTATATTATATATTATATAAATACATGAAACAATAAATACTTTTTTATTATTTTATTTAAATATAAATGTTGTGTTTAACATTTAAACATACAATAAACATTAATATAAACACAACATTTAAAACTTAAAAATATTTTAGAGGCCGTAAATGCCAATCAAACTTATAATATGTGTCATAAAAATACTGACGTAGTATATTTTATATTTAAATTATTTTTTTTATTGACAAGATCAAAACAATGATAATGAAACAGTTAAATCCATTTAAAGCTGATTTCCCAGCATGAAGAGTAATTTGTTGTCATTATTCTGTATTATCAGTACACTTAATTATATGATGCAATAATTGCAATATATTTTTGTTGTTGAAAAATCACATGTTGCATATTTTACATATTAATATTAAATAAAAAAAAAACTAGAAAAATGTTAAAATGTAAGTTCCAACCCATTTTTTTACCCTCTCAGTGCGTTAATATACGCATTTAATAATCATATTATATTTTTAATTGTTATTTATGCAAATATATATACATATTATTACAAAGTGGAAAAAACATGTTTACACTTTGGTATAAATGGTAATGAACGTTCTTTGAAAACATGTTTTTTTCGAATTATTACTGATAAGTACTGGAAAAGTTGAAAATTAATAAATGCAAGTAAATGAAATGTAAATCAATAATATATTCGCATGACTAAAAACGCATATTGGGAAAAATACTGATATACTGAAAAATGTTAAAATTGTTACAATTTATAAAAAAAAAACCAAAAATAAAATAAAAATAATTTTTGTTACTAAGGGCATGTATTAAATTTACCATTGAGTCAAGAGCACATACGATAAAGATGGAAAATTTAAATTTAATATGCAATATATTTTTTATTATTTATATACATCAAGTCATTTTACTTAAACTTAGTGTAAAATGGTTTTTTCTACATATACTTGTAATTAAAGAAAACAAGAAACCGTAATGTCTTGTGAAACTTTAAAACGTTTTTAGTTTTGTAACATCAATATAAATATTTAAACCTTTTAGAATCCCTTATATCATGTGATAAATCAATAATATCTTTAATGTTGTATATTAAAAAGATATATACATATATATCATATATGTTTTTGAAATTTTATTAGTTTTATAAATCATGATTTTCAAAAATTGTTTTCTAGGGTTATTTTTAATAGTTTTTGGTATAATAGCTCTTATGCAGAATATCAAAATGATTTTTTATTCAAACATTTATTACAAGAAGTTGATATTTATTTTACCTACTAATTCATATAATTTGTTTTCTGCTAACTTATTTAATATCATATTATATTTTTTATTATCTAAATATTTACTTATACATATTGCACTATTCAAGCTAATATTTTATTACAGTATCATAAAACGATCTCAATGTTTGGGTTTACATTCTTAAATGAAGAGAGCACACAACTTCATTAAATTATTGTTATTTACTGAAGTTTATGAAGATTAAAAAGATTTTGTGAACTTAATTAATAGGTTGTTAATAGTATGTAGTTAACATACTTGTTTTAATTATTACCCATTTGTTAATTTAAATTATTTAATAATACTTAAAATTCTTTGATTATATATCTTTCATATAATTGTGTTTTTATTATGCCAATAGTCTACGCAAAATTATATAAATCAATTATTTTTTTTACGGTAATTGCGATTAATATATAGTTTAAATAACCACTAAATATTTGTGTTTGATAAATATTTTTTATAAAAGTAATATTGACTCACCTTCCTTTAAAACGCATTTTGTTTAAAAAATTTTTTTTCGTGATGTCAAAAATTTAATATATTATTAAATAATTTTATAAAATTACACCGTTATAGTTTCAAAAAATCGAAAAATATGCGCAAATATATTATTACACAATAACACTTCCTCTTCGATCAACAAATCGGATTCAAATAATTTTATTTAATTTCTACAGTAAAATATTAATACTTAATGATAAAGTTGCCTGAGTGGCGCACTGTATACACAATCTACATATACGGTTTTTTTATAAATTATAAAATGCATTTAAATGTTATATAAGTAACAGAAACATAATAATATTTAACTAAAATAATTTATATATACCTAATTATTTTATAATAATTATTTAATTAATTAATTATTTTATAATTAGGTCATTCATAAATTGTAATTGATAAATTTTATAATATCGGATGCAATTAGCAATTTTTTGCTAAGCATAGCAACTTGGATAATGGTAATTGTTAGTTAATCACTGTCTGCTGATGAAAAACTATGTATTCTTGCAATACATTTGTATTAGAATAATAAAAAGTGATCAATATCAGCTTTTAAAGTAACGAAATTAATTATTTTTATGTCTTAACATTTGAAAAAAAAAATATAATGCTTAGAGTATTGAAAATGGCTGAAACCTTGCACTACTCTATTATTCTTGTATTCAATTAGAAAAATGTCCCGATAACTTGTATACTCTGAAACGTGTTTATAGGAAAAGCGAAAGAGCAATAGAGTAATGAAAAGAGGAACATATATTAAATACTATTATTGTCTTACTACACAATATTTTTTTTTAACGGTTGCTGCAAAAAGTTTTATTACTGTAATAAAAAGCTGCTAAAAATTGCTATGTAGCATAGAGCGGACTCTCTCATTGCTACTTTTACTTCATTGCTATCGGTAGCAACCCATTTAACAAACAATGGGCCATAAAGAATTACCTGGGTTTTGAATACATTCATTATCCATTGAAAAACAAAAATGCACACTACATTTATAAAGTGGTACATTTATTCAATTTATATGTGCATTTACATTGTGTGATTAATAGTAGATTAAAGTAATCATCAAGATCAGGACTGTGCAGAATAATACAAATTACTGTACAGATTGGAGGGCCGCAAAAAGAAATACATACATTCAAAGTTGTTTTCGACAAAAATAATTTATTACATTTATATTATAATATTTTTGTACATAGTTGTAATTAAATGTTTAATTTATAGAAATTTATCAAACATACGGAGCAAAACATAAGAGATACATCAAAATTAATCTTCAATGTATAATGTAAATGGTGTGAGTAAAAAATACAGATTAACTTAGGCCGTGTGTGAGTTTGAGTATATTGAGGTAAATAGAGACATTTGCCCTAGAGATTTTTTGTACTGCACGTATGAAATATATATTTATTTATTTATTTATTACACTTATTTATTATTTTTGATTTAACGTTTTCAAATTTATTTATTTACTTAGTAAACATGTTATAAAATTTTCAAAATGGTAACACCTAATTTACCTAATTTTAACCTAATTTACCCTACTCGAAATTCTGGTAAATACCAACATTCGTTGTCATATCGACATAATGTACTATTTTCCTCAATTTATCATCAATATACTTGAACTAGCACACTGCCTTAAGCTAGTTCGCTTAATCTCATAATGTAAACGTAGAATTACAAAATTATAGAACAACTCTGTTCTTATGAATTATTTTGACGTTTCTGCTTGTTTTAACAATTCACATTATACTTCTACAATTGCCGCAATAGCTTGCTTTTTGCATACATAATTCGTTTCTAAATTAAATGTTAGTTTAACGATAAAATCTACGTAATGGCAGATGATAATAATGAAGAAAGTTGGTTATATGGAACTTCAAATCCCGATTCGACAACAAACGAGGAAGAACGCAATGCAGTTGAAGAGTCTACGCCAGTAATACAAAAAACTGACACCACTGAAAATGAAGCACAAGCTGCAGAGAATACACAAATTGAAATAAAAGAGGAACCTGCAGATACTGGTGAGCAAGATGAATCGTTTAGTGCTTTTGAAGATCCAGCCGAAGGTATGGAGGAAGATGAAGAAGCGGTGGCTTCAGCCATGACTGCTGCCGATACGACTGACGATGGTGCACAAAATGATGAAGAAGTATGTTTTCGTTATTTTCTTTCTAAAAAAATCATTCTTTTTTATATTATAATTGTAATTTTAGCCTAAATCCGGTGGAGTATCGGATGAAGATGACGATGATTCAGATGATGATATTAATGTTGTCATAGGTGATATAAAAGCTGCACCAAGTACTTATAACATCAAACAGAGATCAAATTTATTGGCTGCGGGTGGTGGACAAGATAAAACAAAATCTACCTCACAAGGTGGAAAATTTAGTGTGGAAGACTTTGATGGTGTGGGTGTAATAAATGGAGTGCCGGCACATGAATTTAGCATTGATTCATTGGAAGAGAAACCATGGCGTAAACCGGGTGCAGATATAACAGACTATTTTAATTATGGGTTCAACGAAGAAACTTGGCGTGCATATTGTGAACGCCAAAAACGTATGAGAATTGTGGAAAGTGGTGTGGGATTAGCGAGTTTAACCCAAAATGCCAATCAAAATATGGATCGCATGCAAGATAATGCAATACAACCAGTTGGTGGATCAACGCAAACACCGACTATTAACGACCAAATACACATTCCTCCACTAGGTTTGCCGCCACAGACAACTCATCATGGTCCTCCACCACGTTTAAGTGTTATGACGCGTCCTCCACGTCCTACAGGCACAAAAGAAAATGTTATTCAAGTAATGACCGCCGAATGTCGTGAGTATTCACGTACAGGTGTGTTGGGACAACTGCCACCATTTGCTGGGGGACCGCCCGAAGAACCGTTTTTTCCCGAAATGGATGCATTTGATTATGGTTACGAACCAACTCAGGAATCGCAATGGGGTAATGATAATCCTGCTTGGGTGCCAAGTGGTATAAAAGAATTAACGCCTGGTCCCGGTATGGTACCACCTTCACAAATGTCTGGTCCTCCAGGTATGCCGCCAGGTGCTATGGGTGTGCCACCACCGCAATTAGGGGGACCACCTATGCGGGGACCACCACCATTAATGGGAGGCATGCCGCCTCCTAATATGAGTAAATATAACCCAATTGTTTTTTTAATATATGAACTTCTATATAAAATATTTTTTTATAGATATGGGTCCTCCACCAGGTATTGGTATGATGATGGGTCCAAATAACGGTCCACCAATGCGCATGCCAATGGGTCATACGCGCATGATGGGCCCACATGGACCACACAATAATCTTATAGATCGTAAGTATAACGTTCAATAGACTATAATAATAGAAATAAATATATTTTGATATTTCCTATTAAATTTCATTATTTCAACTATGTAGCACACGAACGCAATCAAAGACGCTATCCCCCGCCATCGAATATACCATTAGGAAGAGTAAGCATGAGTTTTATTTTTAATACAATATTAAACTAACTGATTTCAATAAAAATTTCAGCAATGTTTATCAAGACAATTGCTAGAGTATGCAATTCTTATTTAATATATTTTAACAATACTTTATTAATATTCATATTTAAACTTAGAGTATCAAACTACAATCCTTTCAAGAAAATGTATAAGAAATTCCATGATCCGCTAAGTGTAAAAATTGAAAATTTCATTTTATCTAAAATAGAAAAAGTCGAAGTTCTTTTATTAACCTAAAGTTTTATACTTACAGGAATCTTCTGAGCGCAGTGATGAAGAACGTGAGCGTAGAAGAAGAGAACGCGAAAGAGATCGGGATAGAGAGAGAGATCGTGAGAGGTAACTGCTTAATGCTTGGTTCATAATGTAACTTGCAGCCACGAGGACATGAATATGAAGGAATTTCTGCTACAGAAGTTCTCGTTCAATTCTTCCATTCTCTGAAAATTAAAAAACTAAAACGCGGTACAGTCTTGCAAACTTGACTGTCACTCCAGAGAGAGAATGCCATGACTGTGAGCAAAACTGCAAGTCTGCACCTTTGAATGACACTCAATCAATACGTTGGCATTCTCATCAAAATTTTGGTGGGTACCAAAATCAACTTTTCGCCAACATGTTGTGAATGATAGTCACAAAAATTTGAATTCCGTCAGTTAATAGCTTATTTTTACGTGGTTACACAAATTTTTACAGCGTGCGCAAACGCACTGCTCAAAAATATTGCTTGACTGACAAATTTTAACTGTGAACATGTTCAAGTTCGGTCGCTAGAATAAATTTGAGCAAGAGAAAGCGCAACTTGACAGACAGCTAAGTTTGCAAGTCTGTACCGTGCTTAAGAATATGCCGCATTATTAATTATGAACCAGACAAAACTTTAATTGCATACAAAAGTAACATATATCTATAATCGTATGTAACAACTATTTTTTATATTAGTAGGTCAAGGCGAGAACGTTCTCGTAGCAGAGAAAAAATGCGCCGTCGTTCTAAATCTCGTGATAAGGAACGTGATATGAGAGAACGAGAGAGGGAGCGTGATCGTGGAAGAGATAAAGATGACAATAGAGAGAAAGAAGAGAAACTTAGACGTCGTTCCAAATCTAGAGACAAGGAGCGTGATCTCCGTGAAAGAGATAGGGAAAGAGAGCGAGATCGTGAAAGGGAACGGGAAAGAGAAAAAGACGACAAGAGAGAAAAAGATGATAAGAGAAGGCGTTCAAAGTCTAGAGAAAAGAGAAGTAGCAAATCAAGTCGCACTGATAAAAAGAAATCACACCGTAAAGATAAAGAGGATGATGAATGATTTTTTTCATGTAAAAACTAACTCAAAGCATAACTATCTTGAATTGTATTTAACAAATAACGATCGACAATGTAATATAAATAAATACTAATTAATAGTACACTATTTAAACTTTTTATTTTAAGAAACTTTAATTGCACAAATAAGGTAAAAGCACAAACGTTGAAACGTAAAAAGGGGCTTTTCCCCCAAATAGAAAATTAAATTATATATATTGGAAATACATTTATAGGAAAAATTAAATATACAAATACTTTTAAAATCTAGAAAAAATTAATACACTTTAATATTATTTACTTTCAGCATTGTTTTCCAAAGTTTTTTCTAAGTCGTCGCGTTTTTTCTGCAATAGCTTTTCTTCAACTACTTCAAGCCTTCTATTCATAGCATCGAGTGATTCGAGCAGTCCTGTTTGTATCTCACCATAACGCTTCATTGCTGAAATCAGGCTATCTTCGATTAGTTCACTTTGTTGAGCGAATTCTGTATTATCCTGCGAAATTTGTTTTAATTTTTCAGTACACTCGCCTGGTATATTGCGAAAATATTCAGCACCTAATGTAGACTCTAATTGCTTAATCAAATCAAGCTGTTGAAATTGATCTTTGAGATCTGGTGCAATAGCATTTAAATATACCTCCCTGGAACGGACTTGCTGATTTTCTTCCAAAAAATTTGGATCTAAATATTTTTCAAGTTCATTAGTTCTTGTTATTGCTTTATTGATTTGCTCTCGCTCTTTAAGTGCATCGTTTAAAATACTATTCGTTGACAACAATGTATCCACAACATTAGCGGATCTGTTCACTTCACCGCCGGTTATGTTGGCTTCTTCTACAGGTCCCAACATACGCGATAACGTATCGATACGTCTCTCCAAGGAGTCTAGTGCTTCCATTTAAAATACCTCGATTTATGATTCAATATGGTACAAAATGATGTCAACAATGGAATGTAATTTTCATTTATTAGTTCTTGTTTTGTTTCCTTACAATTGCAGGGTTGCATTTTTGCTGTAACATGCTGACGCAGCAACACGGAATACATTATACCATGTTTACATTGCGACTTTTAGCTATCGAACTTTGCTTAATATAACACGTTTACATGTGTATTGAAGGAAAATAAAATAAGTAAATTTGTAATTTTATTTTATATTAATCATTTACATTAATCATTGGACATTAATTTTGACAATTTTTTTGTTTTGTTTAATTCGTGTGATTGATTAAATTTTTAAAAATTGATATATATATACATACTGGGTGGACATAGTGCTCCAAATAAAAATATATTTAAAACTATACTATAGGATATTATTTTTTTCAAAAGAAAATTTTTGGGAACTAATTTACTTACTTAAACTTACATCAATTCTAGCCACTGTATCGACAACAGTAGTTTGACTTCAACTATACTGTATACAACTATCCATATAACATAAACTATATGTCTTCAAATGGTAACTGCTTAGAATTCCTGTGTATTTACACTCATTTTTTATGCTTTCTTGCGTCTCATAGATTTTTTCTCCTTTGAAAAGAAAATAGAAAAACAATCATTTGCACAAATTATATTTCATGTTTAACAAAAGTATATAGTTTCTAATCAGACTAAAAGAAGATATCTTCGCAAGGCTTCCTTAGCTAATATGGCCACTCCTGATAAAAATAATAAGTAAATGATAAATAAAATGAATAAATTAAAGGTATATATAAATATATTAAAACAATTTAAAAAATTTGTACTTATAGCTCATTCACACTGTCTCATTTAGTAGGTTTTGCTCATTATATAGCCACAATTGAGAATGAATTGCCATACAAATATATATATATACATATATATATTTTCTAACCAAACTAAAAGAAGATATCTTCGTAAGGCTCTATAACTTACATGGCCACTCCTGATAATAAATAATAAGTAAATGATAAATAAAATGAATAAATTGAAAGTATGTATGTATAAATATATTAGAACAATTTAAAAAATATGTACTTATAGCACATTCACAATGTCTCATTTAGTAGATTTTGCTTATTATAGCCATGAGAATGATTTGCCATGCACAGTATATTTGTAATGTTTATTCGACTTTTAATTGTTCGGATACTGTAAGCACAATTATTGTTCGGATCATATTTGTTCATGTAATTGTGCTCTAAAACAAATATATTAGATATAGAAATATTTCGTGTTACACAAGAACTCTGTCGTTCATAACAATTACTCACAAAATCGACATCATAAACACTTTTGTTCCACTCGTAGTAACTTTGAGTAACACTATGTGTCATAATTCCGTTCCACCAGCAAAAATTTTTGAGTAAATGAAAGCATCTAAGAGAGCGTAAAACCCCTGTCGAAATTTGAAAATGCTAAATAGACTTTACTCGTACATTTTATTTCAAGTAAAATTTATGTGATGTGTGAATCAGCTGTTTTTTTTTTAATTTAAATTTTTGTATTGTTTATTTACGCGGAATTGGTGTTAAAGAGCATAATTTGGCGCTTTATTTGTGTTACGCTTCAGTTTGTACTTTACTTATGTTTTACATGAATTTTACTACGAGTAGCTCGTGTAGCTCCGAATTAAAATAGTTCTAATTATGATTGTAATTCAGATTTTTAGGGTCTTACAACTCAATATAAAATAAATTGAAATACAATTCTATACAAGATCCCGGCAACAAATCTTACAATTTAATTAATATTTATACAAAATCAAATTAAAATTGATTTTATAATTTGAAATAATAGAATTGTGTAGCGATATTGTGGATAATTCGAATTGTGATTTTATATAGATTTTGCTACAATGAGAATTTGAAAAAACAAGATTACAATCATTTCATGATTATTATGCTAAGTGAATATGATTTTACTTTCATTTTATTGGTTCAATAAAACTATTTGCGAACAGACCTAATACTATGAGTTAAAAATTGTCCGGCTTACAATTGTTATTTAGTTAATTTTTTTGTATTCTATGAAGACTTTGTTCAAAACCGATTTAGATATTCGCTCACTATACAGCGCTTTAAAACACTGATTTTGAATTTACTGATTTTTAAGTACGGCACGTACTTCATATGCTGACGTAGTGTCTGGAAATTAATTACATATTTTTTTATTGTAAACATTTTACAATGAATAAATTACAATAAATAAATGAAAAATGAGTAAGATAATATTTATTAAAAAATAATTTATTTGTTGATACTGGTAAATTTAAAGTGCTTCAACGATTGCGTTGTTAACTTATGTTCAGACAGCCAAATGTCCTTAACTATAAAGGATGGATTTCAGGTATATAAATTGTTATTTTTAGAAATTGTTATTTTTTTTTTAAATTAAAAACAAAAAATTTTTAAATTAAAAATTTTTCTCTATATGCAAATTTAAAAATTTGTACTCCTTTCAAAATATTTTCCCGGTTTTATTAAAGTCAACTCTCACTGACATTTATTTTAAAAAAATTTCATTTTTTTGTTATATCAACTTTAATTTTTACTTAAAATTTATCTTACGCATAGTTGCTTTTAAAATTTCCCTTAATTTCAGCCTTCGTTTCAACGAAATTAAGGGCATTTTCCTTAATATCTTTCTAACCTTAAAATTAAGTTTTATATGGAAAAAACAATTTAGTTTTGCTGAAACGAAATTAAGAAATTTTTTGAAATAAAGATTTTGCGAAATTAAGGTGTGTCTGAACATAGTATAATGTACAATTGCTCGTAATTAATGAAGAAACCCTGATTACTACTTTTTACTACTTTTTTAAATTTACTCCCAGTTGCATTACTTTTATTTACAAATTGTATTGCGCTGTCAAAATATGTTTTGGATATTTGTATTGACAATATAAATATCAATGTTGTAAGGATATGTCGCTACATATTATTAATACGTCTGATAGACCAACTGAAGCGTAAGTTTTAATTTTATTTTGCAATTTTGTAACGCTTATTAATTAATTTAAAATACTTATAGCACCATTAAAGTGTCATTTGACACGGAGAGAAATGCTGAAATCGCGTACCGTGTTCTAAAAGTTGATGTAGAGCCGCGTCGAAATTTTGTACAGAAAGAGTTTACTTTACAAGGTCTTGATTTAGAAGTTCACTTTGTATCCGATGAAGTAAAAAATCTGCGCTCAGCAATTGCTTCATTTTTTGAGTTACTTGTATTGTGTACAGATACAATAAAAGCATTCGGCAGAAAAAATGCCATCGCACACACCAGCTCCAAGCCCACATAGAGCAGTATATGGATTCGCTATATATTTGTTCTTTTTCACACTTTTTATTTTATATTTTCTATGGGCCTTATTGCCTAACAATTTATTAAAAAGCTGCGGTATAGACTTTATGCCTAATAAATACTTCAGTATATGTTTGCCGATGTTAGTACTGATGGGCTTATTCTTCTTTGCTTTTTTCATATATCCTGCAATTAATTTGTCGATGACGGCAAACGTTGATGAGCTGGCTTCTGTTGTGGATGTATCATTGTTACCTGAAAATTGCAGAAATTCCTGGAAAGATATACATGCGGCTAACAAAACAGTTAAAAGTATTAAAAAAACAAAAGATGAAAAGAATCCTTGTGCAGTATGCAAAGAAACACATCAACCAGCAGTACTAACTCAAATAGCAACGCTAAGATTTTTGGACTTAAGTGATGTTAACAGAAATATTTTTGGTTAAATGTTTATTTCATTAATAAAAGTGTAATACTTAATTAAAAAAAATTTACTATAAAATTGATTTTATATACGTTAATTATAGTACAGTTATTATCCTAATGATAGTATTTACAGCTTGGCGTGAGCTAAAGCTGTCTTTAAATTTGCGCTCTATACGTCAATGGTTAATCTTTGAACTTACACCCGCTCCCGCTGTACATGTCTTCTTCAATGCTTCTTTGTAATCATGTAAGTGGTTCTACTCTTTTTAAACTCAGTCCACTCAGTGAACTACTGACGTTTAAATTTTTTGTTGTGCTGTAGCGGATCACGCTTCTTTGTTTCTTTCTTTGTTATGCATATTTTAATCTAATAATCAGAATAATTATAAGCTTGAAACTCAGAGGATTGCTCTTCTTATTTGTTTATAAGTCGACATTTGGAGACTAACCATCCGTAATAATAGTTACATTATAGCACCGTTGTCGAAATAAGAGTGTAATTAGCGTAAAACAATTGTTTTTCAACGGTTCCTGCTGTACCGAAGTTTTGGTAACTATTGACACTATTCTCTTTAGAGAGTAAAAATAAGTAGATTATTTATAAAAACCTGTCACAACATGGCTTATTTTACACTTGCATCACGGTATATCATTTATAGTGTCTATAAATATAACATATATTAAAAAATATCTTTCTTTTATATAAATTATTTTTATTTAAGTATTAGTTTTATCAGTTGCTGTAATGATATAAAAGTTATAGTATTATGGTATTAGTGTTTCCCGACTTTTTAATACAATATCTATCAGATGTTTTTATTTAGGTATTTTTGCTTTATTTACGTTTACTGCGTACAGTTGTCCAGCCAAGTTCTGGTTCCACAAAATCGTCTTGCTGTTTGCGAGTTTGAGACCGTGTCACCCGGCTAGATGTGGCTGCTTCATTGTCGTCAGAGTCATCGATATCCATTTCTCCCTCATCGGAGCTGCCATCATCTTCATCAGTGGAAGAGTCTTCACCCGCTATGGGAGTGTATGCAATTTTGACATCATTTCGTAACCATTCTTTACAATTTGGCAATTTTTTCAACTCATTTTCGACACTTTGGTATTGGTTCTGTAGACACATCTGTTTATAGCGTAATAAATTACGCGAGATTTCTAGGGAGATAATGAATGATTGTATTAAAATCCCACTTAATTGGTTTACAAAATGTACCTTGTATAGAATTGTCATCACACAGCGTATTGAATTCTTGATCCATCAATTCCTCTATAACAGCTTGGAGCTCACCTTGTGTAATATTTTCATTACCAACGCAATATTGGTAAGTGTAGTCCATTATTTGTATTGCTACCTATAATTATTTATTTATATAAAGTACGTCTTAACAGGTACATGAATTACGACTATTACCTGTTGACCATTACGTCCGCCCATGCCATGTTCTACCGCTAAACGTAAATTTTGCCAACTATTAAAAATCTTTTCAACAATTAAACGAAAATTTCTTTGGAATTCGTCAACCTGTGACATCTTTGTTCTGCTTGGATTCAAAACAAATGTCAAAAGTGCCTCGCACGTGAATCGCGACAACAACACTGTTGTTTTTGTTGGTGTTTTTGTTCAGGGTTGCTTTAAGCTTGTATAAAACTGTAGGAAAGTGCAAATAATTACATCAGGCGCGCATTTTGTTGTTTTTGGCTTTGAAAGATTGTTGACAATTTTTTACTTTGATCAACAAAATGTCTGAGCAAGATTTGGAAGATATACAATTAGGTGTTGAAGAGGATGAAGAAGAATTGATCACAGCACAAAAGGTAAGGTTTTGGTTATTTACAAAAAAAAACTTAAATATATTTTACGCTCCTTTAACAAAAGGTGCTTGAATTTTTAGAAACATCTTGGCGCAATGAACTAAATGCACCTGAAATTTTGCCGCACCAAAGTGATATGTTGGAATTAATGATGGGTCAAGTAGTGCATATGGAAGAAAATATGAAAGACTTAGATAAAAATGATTTTCGGTATATAACGCATCGCATGGAATTGGAACGAATTAGATACGTTATGGCCAGCTATTTGCGTTGCCGCTTACAAAAAATAGAAACCTATACTCGTCATATACTAAATGAAGAAGCTAATTATGACACTGATAACAAGCGGTTATCACCCGAAGAAACTAAATTTGCACAAGAATTGCATGATAACACCGAAAATTATTTTAATCAAGTGGCGCTGCAATATATGCCAAATATGCAACGTTCCGATGCCGAACAGCGTATAGTGCGGCCAAATGTAATGAGCCATGTTTTTGTTAAAGCTAAAGTATCTGGTAAGTTAGTATTTGCGTATAAAAAAATTTAAAATAGTTTTTTTTCATACGTTCCTTTTTATTTTAGTACCATCTGTGGTAGTTGGCGTAGATGATGAAGAAGTTGATTTCGCAGCGGGTTCCCAGCATATTATTCCATATCAGTTAATAGCCGATTTAGTACAAAAAAATCAAGCAGAACTTATTTAAATGTGACCATCCTTAACGTATTCGCAAATTTTTCATATAAACTTTAGTTTTTATCGAGCAAACACTTTGTTCGTATCGACGAGTGCAGTACTATGCAGTGAAAAGAACGAAGTTTCAAGAAGGAATAGGATGCAAATCATGTTAAGGACCAAAATGTGTGCTTAATGTGTAATTAATTCCAGAAAAAGTTGCCAATAACTATAAAAACTAATTATCGTCACATCTATAAAGTACAAATTAAGTCATATACATATATTTTTATAATTTATATTGTGTATAAATTTTAACTTATATAATTTAGTTGAATATACATACAGTGGTGGAAAAATAATAGAAACGAGAAGGTTTGTACTACTTCAAGGAGTATATTTTATTTTTTTGAAATGTTATATGCATGTAGTCCACTGAATATGTTATTTTGATGAAGATACTTTAATTTACTTTTGCTGTTACACCTATTTCGGCA